GGTGGAAGAGGATGAGAAGGAGGAGGAGGAGATGGATGAGGGTGAGAAGGAGGAGGAGAATGAGGAGGAGGAGAAGTAGAGCGAGGCTGAGAAGTAAAATGACAAGTAGAAGAAGGAGGAGGAGGAAGAGAATGATGGTTAGTATATGGAGGTGTATTCGAATAGGCAGGAGGGGAAGAGGACTATGGGAATGACGAGGAGTAGTAGTAGGAGTTTTGGGAATAGGCGGAGAATGACAAGGAGGAGGAGCAGGAGAATCGGAAGAAAGAGTACGAGGAGTTTGAGGTTGAGAACAAATAGAAGGACGATGAGGATGAGCAAGAGGTAGGATTCAGTAATGTTTGGTTTTGCGAGATTTTTTTATCACCTCCTCGTCTGTCTGTATGCCCACCCATTCGTTGTGGTCGGCGTAAAGCTGGAGACGGATCCCGGCTGGCAGCGCTTCTTCGCCCTCGAGACGGCCAAGTCGGTGGCTCGTGAGTTGGCCGATCTGCCGACGCCGTTCTTCCCGATCCTCTGCCTCGCCGCCAGTCGCGGTTGCCGACGCTGCCTCTCCAGCATCCTGTCGCCGAGGCGAGGCTGGCCCGCGGTTGCCACAGCGCCACGAGGCGGCCAGGTTGCTGCCGTCTCGTCAGTCAAGCGCCACTGTCGCACGACCGGCACAAGTCGAGTCGCTCAGGCGACCAGCCTCGAGAACGAGTACCAAACGGCGCCGGGCACATGTTCGATGTCGCCGACGAATGTGAATGCCAGTCCGAGTCCGAGTCCGAGCGCCGGAGAGGTGACATCTGAGGAGGTATGGTGGTCGACTCGAGACCGGGCCAGAATGAGCGCAGAAACCAACGCGATAGCGAATAGTCGGCAGCACGAGAGACCAACCACTTCGGACGCAAATGCATTGCCACGCCGCACCAACCAGCTGGCTGTGTGCCTTCGGTGAATACACACAAACACGCATGCACCATTTGCTTTAATGCACAAACATTTACCCATCTACCGATTGCTTAAGAAACACCCATCTATGCAAAAGACCACACAACTGCACAGCAAAACGCAAATATAATTAACAAACTGAAAAAACACATACCTACCCATTGAAGAATACATCAGACAACCAAAACAACAATATTTTACAAATCTACAAATCCATTCATCAGAGAATACACAAACTCAGTCGCGTTGCCATACGCTAAATGAACCATGTTCCCACTAAAAATACAAAGCAAACGCCCAGACAGCAAGCCCGCGAACTCCCCATTCACACGCATATTTGATAATCCTACAAATAATCACACACTCACATGCCCAACCACCAATCCAGCCTTCCTCGCAAGCACAAACTCACTCGCATACCCTCCCAACTATTCACAATCTTCCCAACCACA